ACTTACCCAAACAACCCATACCAGCTATACATTACATACTACACTTACCCAGACAACCCATGCCAGCTATACATTACATACTTCCTTTACCCAGACAACCCATACCAGCTATACATTACATACTTCCTTTACCCAGACAACCCATGCCAGCTATATGTTACATATAACACTTATCCAGACAGCCAATACTAGCTATACATTACATCTCACACTTTCCCAGACAACCCATACCAGCTATATGTTACATACTACACTTACCTAGACAACCCATACCAGCTATATGTTACATTCTACACTTACCTAGACAACCCATACCAGCTATATGTTACATACTACACTTACCCAGACAACCCATATCAGCTATATGTTACATACTACACTTACCCATACAACCCATACCAGCTATATGTTACATACTACACTTACCCAGACAACCCATACCAGCTATATGTTACATAGTATACTTACCCAGACTACCTTTCCTCTATTGATAGTTATTTTATGATTATTCACTTTGATCACCACGTGGTGAACCACGCTGACGTCCGCGTTTTGCGACATAAATTGAGTCTTGACATTTATCATGAATAGCGCTGGGTTGTGCATCTTGTCCATGACGTGAACGTATGTGCAGTTGCCTTGGTAACTGCGCTTTACGCCATCAAATGATGAATAATGTGGATCACCCCAAGTGTAACATTTGCAATCTATCATTAAAAAAAAACGATTTAAAAAAAAAACGTTCATAAGTAAGTTCGCTTGTTTATGATAACTACCCTACACTGTGTCGGCACCGTATTGAATTTGAGGTATACATATATTATTGAATTGAATTTCATGCCGACAAAACGAAACGTGATACTTACCGTAGCTTTGTTGTTTCCACCAGCTGTGATACGTCAACCATCGCCCTGCCAATGGACTCAATGCGTCTACGGGAGATTAAATGAAAAACCGCTATTTGAATAAGACCCTTTAATACGTGTGTGCGTGTAAAATGTGGCCTTTTCTAGAAATGGCGTGATTGAATGGTGGGATAATTATATCACTAGCGCAACATGACATGCTATCTTATTTAACAGTTAGAATCGGGGTAAACGGCAATCCTAAGACATCCTGTTAAAAACAGATTTTAAAATGTTGTTATTTTCCGGTTTTTGATGCAAAGTCCTCACTTTTCTGTTTAAAAACACTAACTACTCGAAAGTTGTTCACTTAATCTATGGATGTTCAGTTGAAATCATCTTGGTTAAGTAGTGTACTATACCATATTGTTTTCAACTTGTTAATTTATATATTTATGTTGATGATGTTGAAAAACATCTAAGTATAATTTTTTTCGATAATTTCGAAGAAGGATTTTAGATCACACATGAAACCTCTAGATTGAATGACGTAATCCCATATAGACACTAGTATACATAAAACAAAATAAACCTGCATGCAATTTGCATAAAACTTAAAAATACTTAAAAGTGTGGGAAAATATGTTGGGAGAAATTATGGCGTTAAATGACTGTGTTTAGTACATATCTGCTGCTTGACATTGACAAAAATACATTATGAAGACATTTATACTTACATCGTTTGGCGATAAAAGCGTACTTATTTGAACATTTCTGATCGCTGACGTAATAATTATAGTTGTCATCTGTTTTAACTAGCGCCCCACACCCACTGTAGTCATCTCCGGTCTCGCCTCTCGGTTCAGCGGGATGGAAAATATCAACCAGCTCCCAGTCCCAGTCTTGACCATCTATCCACCGCCAATTGCTTTCTAGCGTATTGGGCAACGTTACGTCTCGTACGGACGCGCCGGTCCAATAGGCAGAGTCTAAATACCCAGTCTCTTGTACCTTCCCTCTTAGAAACGCATACTCGTTGTCGTCTAGAATATTAACAAGTCGGTACCCGTTGCTGATACACCACTCTCGGGCTTCGTGAAATTTCACGGCGGTTTGATTAATGAGGTAGCAATAATCGCCATTAGGATAGGCTATTTCGTCTTTGGAACATTCTACAAAGAAATACATTACCATTGATATACACACAAATAATACCAGTATCACACAAGAACTAATTTCAAAGAAAGAGTGCGTCGCTGCAATTTAGTGCTACCACATAAGTGCGGTACATATAATTAAAATATTAAATATTACATACACTTTACTTACCGTATTGTTCAGTGGCAGCTGCAAATAGACAATAATTTGGATATGATCAGTTTGGCGAGCATTTTTATAAGTTAAAAAAATATTCACTGGTGCGAAGAGAATTTTTAATAAGCAATCTAATACATAGTATTGATACAATGACATTTTTTTTTATTAAATATAGCGGCAAGCAGCGTTCAACGAGCACACACTTACACGCCATTATTTGGTGTAAGTAAGTAATTTATTATATTGACCTGCAGCTCAAAGAATTGATTACACGCAAAAGAAACAAAAACAGTACCATACATATACAGCAGCATTTTTACATCGTGCATTCAACATTTCTGGTTTCTGTTGGTTTAATCAAAACTAAACTATTTCCGTTCGAAGAATCTGAGATAATTTATAGAATTCAGATACCCCTCACCGGTTTGCTGTTAGGAGTTCATTGTGATCATAGCATTTGCATACACACTTACCGACAGGCTGTACCTGGTGGAGTCCAGGCGGTGCACAGTAATCCTCGTCTTCTAGGTTATTGGCAGTACAACAGTATCTACAATGCTGAACTACCACGATTGGAGGGTTATCGCACTGGTTGTGTGTAGTTTCGGATTGGGACAGGGTATTGCATGTCTGTCAAAGAAAATTGAAACAGTTAAATACAGAAATTGTTGTAGCGTGATGTTTTTGTCCGACCCGCTCATCCTGCCCATCTTCGGTTTTGAGTTGATTGCTGAAATCTGTAATTTGTAAAGACACATACGTTACAAGAAGACCAATACACCGTTTCTATGATTAGTGCCCTCTAGCGACGAAATGATTTGTGACGTAAATACTGTTGTTCACAACGTTATGTTTTGACATGTTGACGTTCGTCAAAAGAAATATTCTTTTTTTTCTTAAAAATTTACTCTTTTCTAAATGACAAAACGACTACACAACTAAGCAGATTTGTTTTTTTTTTTAAATTATTCACACCCCATCATACGTCAATGTGACGCTATAAAAGCGTGTCGTCGCTGGGGGCGCAATGTTTAGTCACGGACATAACATTATGTGGTGTTGTATTCTGAGAATATTTACCTCGTATTTTTCGCATTGAGACGATATTACGATGACTCCTTCTTCGTTCCACAACTCTGTCATACAGTCGGGCTGAAAGAGAAAAAGGGTTTATTATTATTACAGCACCAGAAGTACATTCCTTGGGTTTGCAACTACGGTGACATGATACCAAGATCCCGTTTCAATCTCGCTCTCGCATAAGCGTTCCAAACCAAAATGCGAATACGCATGCCCGAGGTAACTAGGATACTGGGATGTCCAGGTGGATCAAAATAGCTGCTCACGATATGACGGATTACGATAACTATATTTTCTGTACATTTTCGATGCATTACATTTTTTCACTATGAATGTGGTAATACATGTTTTATTGTTTTATTACAAACCGCCTATGTCATGTCAGAAAGTCGTAGCATCAGTCTCGCTATCGACGAGATGAGACTTGAATGGGATCTTGGCATAATGTCACAAAACAGTACTATGCGGCGTGCGCGTTGCAAACCCCAAGTAATGTACCTCCATCTTGAATTTTCAAGGTGAATGTTCCGGCGAAGCACTCCACTCTATATCACCTTGAAGTATTTCATTAGGACTATGTGTATGTGACAATGCCCTCACAGTTTAGAATCAGTTTAACAACAGCCAATCATATAACTTCTTTCTTCAACGCGCTTGGCCAAGCTATCAAAATCTTCGAGGCAGGCAGAGCTAAATCACTGAACGCTCCACGTTGCTATTTAAGACGCGCACCACTCTACCATGTATTTCTATGGACT